CCCCAAAACCCCAAAACCCCAAAACCCCTCCAATTAAAATTCTATCTAAAATTTTACATAAAAATAAATATTCTTCAAAAGCATAAATAAATTAGTACTTCAAATTTCATTCAACCTTATTCTCCAAAGCATCATCTACTTCATCATTTTCTTTTTCCTCATCTCTTGGTGTAACTTATTTACCTGAGACCATTAGTTCCAAATTGAATACCATTCTATCAATATCCCCCATAAAATCTGAATAATACAATCCATCTACTTCACTTTGATTCACATAATAGCAAATAAAGAAGCCAAGAGCGTTATGATTAAACTTAGTGTATTCATCAGCTTAAAGTCCCTCAATTTTTACTTAAGACATTTTCTAATCCAACATCACGAATCCTGTCTGCCCTTTGCTAGTAACAAACTTAACAGGGATAGTCCATTATTCAACTGAATTCATAGAATCATAGCATTTTTGCCAAAATGTATAAGTGTCCTCAGAAATTCTGTCAATAACCAAAATTGGGAAGCAAGGAGTTTGAATCCAATGTGTAAAAATATCCATTATAGGGATTGCTGATACCTCCTCCATTACCTAAAACAAGTCTTGACTAGTAGCATTTTTCCACATAAATCTATTCATGTAAGCTCTTAAGCAATCTTAGAATACTTATTCATTTTATATCACAGCCTACATCATCAAAACGATCGCACTGCCTTTTGCGTAGGAGATTGTATCAAAGATATCATCTAGACTCTAGTCTCCCTTAACCTTTACTTGAACTGGGTGGGTTAAAGCAATCGATTTGTCTTTCCTTAATGCTACTGAATACACTATCTCTATGTACATGAGCCAAATCTTAAGTTCTGGTCTTATTTTATCAAGGATTACATGTTCCATGTATCTTGCAAACCCTTCATTCAGCCAGATGTCATCCCACCATTCCATTGTAACTAGGTTTCCAAACCACATGTGAGATATTTCATGTGCTATTGTCTTGCAATTTCTCTTATAATCATATTCATCGAATTCATCTCCCTCTTCCTTGATTAGTAATTTTTTAATAAATGTAACACAACCCCAGTTTTCCATTGCTCTTACTATATGATTATAATAACCTATTAGGTCTAATTTGGTAAGAGGGTATTTGACTTGGAAATAATCTTCAAGGAAATCTATACTATCAGCTGCAAGCTAGAGAGCATCAAGAGATTTCACACCTTCTCCCGTAGGAAGATAGGTTGATACTTGTACTCCAGACTTTGAATGCAACGTATTTTTGTCAAATTTGCCTATTACGATACAGAGTAGATAAGTAGACATTAGAGGAGTTGAATCAAAAGTGTAGACTTTTTTGTTTTCAGTCTTGGTGATCTCTTTAACGAGGGAATTAGATATCACGTCATGATTTTCATACTCAATCTCAACTATGACATTAAACACTGATTTAAATAAAGGCTCATCAAAGCAGGGCAGCATCTACCTAGCAAATTTATCTTCAAAGTGTGTGCAAATCTATATTTATTCCAAGACCTCATTGTTTTACAGAAGAAGCTCATCTCCATAATCAAACATTTACTTTTCTTTGTTATCAAGCAATTTAGGATCGCACAGCATGAATACTCCTATAGTAAGGTTTAATGAAAAGAAATTTATACCTGTCATTTCATGAGTCTTGATCTTTCCCTGGTATTAAAATCTTAAAAAGTATTCAGACCTCGCTTCAAACTTAATCTCTTAATCCAGGAATTTGATAGAAAATGTATCTTATATATAGTTTTCATTCTTTGTCAACGAAGTTTCATAGATCTTTTCACTTCCGTCTACTATCTTTATTATTTGGAGTGAATTAACTTGAAGATCTTTCATGTGCAAATTGACTTCATCAATATCTTTCTTGCTACTGATAAATATCTTAATAGTCAGCTCATTATAAAACATCTTCTCTTAAATCTTTGGTACATATCTTAAGTCATATTGCAGTGGCTTCACATCTAATGGCAGCCTGAACAATAGCTCATCTCTGCCTTTTAACTCTACTTCTGTGAGCTCTAAGCTTTCCATTTTATTAAGATATCTTATAATTAATAAACTTCGAATTTCACTAGATTTTAGGATATTGATGGTTAGGGGTTTTGGGGTTTTGGGG